GTGGGGACAAAAGTGAGAGTGTAATAACATGTGAAACTCACATATTTTTATCTCTAACTTTTCTCTCCAAATATGAGGATATTTTGAAAAGAAAATTTTATTTTTAAATTTACCATCAAATTTTTCATTGCTGCCTCTTGATTTCCTCAATTTTTATCATGATCGTTTTAATATAGTTATATTTTGATCATAAACTTTTGTCAAAACAAATAGTATATTTAACCTTTAGATTAATTAGATAAATGCTAATTCTAAATTTTTAAATTAATTTTTAGTTAAGTATCTTATATTTATATTTGGTTGTAGTTTTAAATTTTAAAATTATTATATATTTAATAATTTAATGAATAAATTTTTATATTGAATAAAATATTTTTTAATTATGTTTTAATTCAATCAATAATATATGACAAAAGTTATTATATACATAATATGTTAAAATATTAAATTTTATTATATAAATATTTTTATAAATAATAAAATTTTTATTGTTCATATAAAATTAATAATTTTTTTCTTTTTTTGATTTTCTCTCGTTCAATCAAACATAATGAAAAAAAAAAATTATATCTCTTTACTTTTCTCCTCCTTAATTTTCTCTCCTCCTTATTTTCCTTTGTGAACCAAGTATAGCATAAATAAATGTTTGGAACCTATAGTAAAAAAATAGGCAATGGTATATAGAAAATCTATAGTAAAAATGATAAGTTTAAGACATGCAATGACATTACAAATTTAGTTTAGATAAAATGAAAAAAAAAAGTAAGTATGCAACCCACTCATTTTTTCTTAAATTTAATTTACATAAAATAACAGATTTTAAATAAAATAATGTGTTGCTTGCATTTTTTATATGCATAAGATAATAAACTATAGAGTAAAATATAAAGCTAAATAAAAAATTATAAAAGAATCTATTTTTTGTATTTTTATATGTAGAAGATAAAAAATATTATTTTTAATTTACATGGGGAAAACTCATTCTACGATAATAATTTTTTATATTTTTAATATTCAGGAATGATAACTTTTATATATTTTTTTAAAAGTAAATAAGTAAATTACTTCTTGAACTTTATGTCAAGTTGCAGCATAGATCCTAAATTTATTCATTATGCAGATTATCCTCTTAATTTTAAAAATGGGGTAGTTTGACTTTTATTGTTGACGAAAGTAACTTTGACAATTAGTTAACTAAAGATAAATAGAAAGAGATATAAAAAATTATAAAAAGGATTAAAAAAATTATAATAAAAGACCCAAAAACTATAGACAAGGATAAAAAATTATAAAAAATGGACCTTTATATTTAATTTTTGAGGTCTTTTTATGTTATTTTTTAGTTAACTAATGGTTGAAATGAACTGTTGTTGATGACTGCAGCTATATTGCACTGTTTTCAAAATTTAAATGAATGATTTGCACAATATATAAGTTCAGAGTCCATGGTAATTGTTTATACCTTTGAAGATTAATTTTTTAAGGAAGAATTTCTTAAAATTCAATGGATGATTTACTCATTTATCATTTTTCAATATGCACGTTGTATATTATTTGTGTTTTTAATGTGCGGGGGGTAAAAAGTTAAAAAATAGAACATACATACAGGGCTTAGTAAATTCTAAATCAAAATATGTGATTTTTTTAAATTTTAATTCACGCATGTATAACACATAAATTTTAAAATTATAAGACAGAACAGGTTTTAATTTTATTGTTATTTTTGGGTAATAATGCATTGGCTTTGATTATAAGATGGAACCACCTTTTTTTTTTGGGTAAACGAACAAGCATTGATTTTAATTTACGTGGGAATAGTACATTCTTGTTTTTTTTTTGGGGGGGGGGGGGGTGTTCTTTGTATTTGTTACATGCATAGGGTAACAAATTATAAAATAATTTGTGTGGGTGAAACAAGTTGATGTGCGTGAGGTAGAAAATATATTACTTATTTATTTTCAATATATAAAAATATAAATACTAGTAACTATATACTTTTAAATTAATTATATAATATTGATGAACTTATGTTCACATGTATGTCAATGATTGTGATAAATAGTGCTATAGTATGGATATGAATTATGTTATTTGTTTATAATATCCCTCACCATTAAGCACAATTAATAAATAAAATCATAATAATTAAATGACTAATTAATTAAGTAGATTCTCAAGTTTTATTTTTTAAATTAAAGAATTTCAAGTTTTTTAAAGTCAAAACACATTTAAATCATTCATTGCCTCATCAATCATAGTAAAAACAAATTACAAAAGTATGGAATACCTTAAAGAAGTAAAAAAGAATGAAAATAGTTAAAAAAACACATGTTTGTTGTGAACCAGGGTAATGCATTGAATCCTGTGCACGCTACTCTACAGCATGTTGTTCTATGTGCCATGTGTCGTTACATATTGCACGTTAATGGTAGTAGATTCTGCTATCATTTAAAATCATTATTTTATGCAAAAAAAATTTACCTATTTTTTACTTTTTCACTATAATTGTGATTTGTAAATAATATTATGACAAAATTATAGTATATGGCTCTTTAACAGCAACAAAAAAAAATTATAGCGTATGGTTTATTATAATACGTGTTTCATTTTAAAAATTTGTTTAATTTGTATAAGGGCAACACATTGCAAAATAAAAATTTTTATTTAGGTTTTAATTTATACAGGAATAACATATTTTTAAATAAAATAACTTATTATTTATTTTTTAAACTCATTATTTATATTTTTAACATTTCTGAACAAAAAAAGTTTTAAATTAGAATAAATTTTGATTTACTTAAAATAAAAAATTTATTTACACTAAAATAAATTATTTTTTTACATTTCTAATTTATTTCTATTTTTAAAATTTTAAAATATCTAGTACCTCACACTACGAATAAATCTGGTTTAATAATGGCTTATAATTTTAAATATTGTAATAATCTAATGTTTTGAAATATTTCATAATTTTGCATTTTATAATATAATTAATAACAACATATTAATAATTTTTGAAGACAACATTAATAATTCAATTGTCTAGCTTTAATTTAGATAAAACACTATTTTTTGTCTCTGTAGTTTGTTTGAGTTTCATTATAGGTTATTATACTTTCTTTTTTTTTTTCAAGCCTTTAAACTTTTCTCCATTTGCAATGTTGGTTGTTATGTTTTCAAAGAGACATTGACATGACATGAAACAATATTAATAATATTGATATGTCAATTAACACTATTAATTTTGTGCTTACGTGTTGAACTGATGTTAGTAATGATTTTTTAGTAAGCAAAAATGAAAAAAGGCTACATAAGATGAAATCGTATTTCATCACAACACAAGCATCTCATCGCACTTTATCAATTTTTCACTATCGTCGATTATCTCTGGTGTCGTGTGATAGTTTTCTTTGACATCATGGGGTCATAAGATCGTGGTGCTAATTGTCTAAGTTGATAGAGTCTAAATCATCCTTTTCTATTGAGTAAAATGCACGGACCACCCTTCTATTATGTCTTAATTATATAAATTCCCTCTATTTTGAAAACTTATGTAAACCTCTCTTGAAATTAAATATATGTTACATAAACATTCTTTTTATATTTGAAATTTAATTTATATCCATCCAATCATTAATTGACCGTTGAGTTTGACTTTTAAACTTTTAATTTAATTAAAATGCCCATCTCTAACATAAGAATCACCTAAAAATATTTATTTGCAAAAATATATATTTTTTGGGATGCAACTAAAAAACACAATAAGTACATTTTCAAATTTTTTATATTATAAAATTTATTAATTTTTATCATATTATAAAATATTATGATTTTAATTTTTATCAAATTGTTGAAACTTATTTTTATTTATCTCATAACATAAAATGATATAAGTTCAAGAGATTTTATAAATAATTTAAATTTAAAATTTATAAATTGTTTTTTATAATGAAATGATGTAATTATCAAAACAATATAATGTAAGATTTATTAGGGCAAGAGATAAATTAATAAATAAATTTTTTAATACAAATTTTCATTTAAAAATGTGTTTTAGAATATTTTTATAATATTCTCAACAGAGTTAGCATAGTAAATTAAATTATATATTTTCAAAATAAATGAGAGGTTTATGTAATTAAACTAAAGCATTTTTTATAATATTCTCAACAGAGTTAACATATTAAATTAAATTATATATTTTCAAAATAAATGAGAGGTTTATGTAATTAAACTAAAGCATTTTTTATAATATTCCCAACAGAGTTAACATATTAAATTAAATTATGCATTTTCAAAATAAATGAGAGGTTTATGTAATTATATTAAATTAAATTATATATTTTCAAAATAAATGAGAGGTTTATGTAATTAAACTAAAGTAGAAGGATGGTCAGAGTATTTTATTTTTTTATTTAATCTTATGTAGACTTTTTTATTTTTGTTTATTAAAAATTCATGTTAGTATTGATTTGACATGTAAATATAAAATTAATGGTGTTAATTAATATATTAGCATTATTAATATTATTTTTTTTCACATTAATGTTCCTATAAAAATGTAGGATCAATGTTGTAACGGCAAAAAATGTGAGGATTTGGAATGTTGAAAAAAATATAGAAATCTATACAAAAATTGGAACAAAATGTGGAATAAAAGTAGTGTTTTTCTATATTCCTTCAGTCCTTTTTATAAGTTATTTTTACTAATTTAATTAATTTTAATAAAAAAATATAATAAATAAAAGTATATAAAATTTTAAATATGTCTTATATAACAAATTCAAGAAGTAATATCTTGTTACCTTTTTTTTTCATAAAAAATAATTTGAAAAATATTTTTAAATATTATTTAAAAATTATGTCATAACTTATAAATAAAATTAAATAAATTTTTTAAAATATAAATTATAAATACGATTGAGGTGTAATTTATATGTGATAAATTAGGTTATAATTAATATTCGAGCCTATATTTCGCGATAGGGTAATGTGACAAGATCGCCGGAAACAATCCTTATCCACAACTCGCGTCGGGAAATCCAATGGATGTTTCAGCAGCATATCAAAGGACGGCGCAATCGATCCACTTCAACGGCCCGATTTCACGATTTCTTGTTTCCCACTTGGCACGTCCAGAAATCACAGGTACTTCATCTTTTCCCGTAGATTTTTAATTTGCAAACTGATTGCCTGTCTATGAAGAATAGAAGCCGTCAGAATCATCTTCATCAATGACAACATTTTCTACTGACTTCCTCCCGCGAACCATCCCGCATAGAATCCAGCCGAAGAAGCCTTCTTCCCATTCAAAATCAAACCCCTCCGCTCTTTTTACTTGCAAGATCCCGCTTCTAAATGGCGTTAGCAATCGAAGGAACTGGGCAGATGCCCGGGTTTCTTCTGAAACAAGGCCCAAACATTCCCAAAATTTTGACTTCAAGGACACCCACCTGATGAAAGCTCTCAACAGGTCCTCGAAAGTAGGCAAATATAACGATTCCCTGTACTTTCTCCAGCGAATGGTCAATAAGGGTTACAAACCCGATGTCATTCTTTGCACAAAACTCATTAAAGGGTTCTTCAACATTAGGAGAATCGACAAAGCCATTCGGGTCATGGAAATACTGGAAAAGTACGGTGAACCCGATGTGTTCGCTTATAATGCAGTGATTAGTGGGTTGTGCAAGGCTGACCGGATTGACTCTGCCAACAAGGTGCTTGACAGAATGAAAAGCAGAGGTTTTTCTCCTGATGTAGTCACCTACAACATATTGATTGGGAATCTTTCAAGTAGGGGAAAGCTTGAACTGGCTTTGAAGGTTCTGGATCAGCTATTGAAAGACAAGTGCGAGCCCACCGTGATTACTTACACAATTTTGATAGAAGCGACCATTCTCGAGGGTGGTATTGATGAAGCCATGAAGCTTTTGGATGAGATGTTATCAAGGGGGCTGCAGCCTGACATGTATACGTACAATGCAATCATCCGGGGCATGTGCAGACAAGGGTTGTTAGATCGAGCCTTTGAGTTCATTTCGACTATAAGTTCCAAGGCCTGTGCCCCGGATGTGATTTCGTACAATATCCTGTTGCGAGGACTTCTGAATCAAGGAAAATGGAAGGAGGGAGAGAAGTTGATGGCTGATATGATTCTAAGAGGGTGTGAACCAAACGTGGTGACTTACAGCATTTTAATCAGCTCACTTTGTCGTGATGGGAAAGTCGAGGAGGCTGTAGATGTGTTGAAGGCTATGAAGGAAAAGGGGTTGACTCCTGATTCTTATAGCTATGATCCGTTGATCTCTGCATTCTGCAGAGAAGGTAGAGTTGATTTGGCTATAGAATTTCTGGAGCTTATGATCTCCGATGGCTGCTTGCCAGATGTTGTGAATTATAACACAATCTTGGCCTCTCTGTGCAAGAGTGGAAAAGCTGATGAGGCTCTCAACATCTTTGAGAAGCTTGAAGAGGTGGGTTGTCCTCCAAATGTCAGTTCCTATAACACAATGTTTTGTGCACTATGGAGTAGTGGGGACAAAATTCGAGCGTTGGGGATGATTCTGGAGATGGTAGACAACGGAATAGATCCCGACGGGATTACATATAACTCACTTATATCGTGCTTGTGCCGAGATGGAATGGTGGATGAGGCCATCGGGTTGTTAGTGGACATGGAAAGTAGCAAGCATCAGCCGACGGTTATCAGCTACAACATTGTTCTTCTTGGGCTGTGCAAAGTACACAGAATCGTTGATGCCATTGAGGTATTAACTGCGATGGTCGGGAAAGGATGTCGGCCAAATGAAACCACCTACACATTATTGATTGAAGGGATTGGTTTTGCTGGATGGCGAAATGACGCAATGGAGTTGGCCAGTTCCCTTGTTAGTATGGATGCTATTTCTGAAGATTCATTTAAACGTCTAAACAGAACCTTTCCCATGCTTGACGTGTACAAAGAGCTCACCTTATCGGAAATTAAGAGCTAGGCTCCTGGACATTAATTGATTTTGTCTGGTCTTCTCGCTGGGCTTTTAATTTGAACACAGCTCTACGAGTTCTTCGGTCGATGCTCAATCGATTACTCTGACGACTGCGGAACTCGATTCTGTGCTCGATGGGCTTTCATCATTGAAAAGGGGAAAAAAAAAATTAGACAGAATTCAATATGGATTTCTTGTAGTGAAAGAATTGAGGAATTCAGAAATTGATGTTGGTGTGGTGTAAGTTCTCTTCATTGTCCAGTACTGCAACTTCAGTGCGAGCTCCGTTATTGGGAGGATAGAATGACGATTATACACTGCATTAAGTTACGCCGATGAAGAATTGTACCATGTTTGTATTCCTGCAACAGGTTCTGATCTATGACTGAACCATGTTAAGATTGCTTTCACTCATGATTTCAATATTTTCCATTACGCCGACGAAATTGATAATTTATCCAATTCCCTGTCCATTTTTTCAAATTTTGGTTTAACATCTTGCATATCTGCTGTGTACAGATGTATAAATTTTGTATGATGTCAAATCATGTTATTTGACTTATGATTAATACTGTTTTGACCACTTAATTTAGTTGTTTGTGTTTAACTATTTCAGTTATTAAAGTGATTTGTCATTTCATTTGAGTCTGAATTATTTAAAGTTAATTGGTATAACATTCATAGACCTCAATTATTTCTTTCCATGCAACACACAAGCCATTCCTTAGAAATTTTACTATAATTTATCCGGGGTCCCAGCAATGTTTGTACGCTTCCAGAAATCCGCGATCTAACATACTAAATTGTTGCGTGGGAACAAAACGTCCTATCCAGATGTACAAGGAAGCCTGTCGACCCTTTTCAAGCAACACTTTCATCTATACTCAGGGCCGGTTTGGTTCTGTTGTATTCCACATTTTAAAAGTTGTTCTCCGCTTTTTAAATGTTAGATGTTGTTTGGATAATTGTGGTGTGTGATTGATTTTTATTTTATTAAAAGTTTATTTGTTGAAAGTTTATTTAGTAAAAATTAATTCAAAAAAAATTAATTATTGTAATAAAATTTGTATTTGAATATATTTTTTTAAAAGTTAGTTTAATAAACTGAAAATTGTTTAAATTATGATAGTAAAATGTGCTTTTAAATATACAATTATTAAAAAAGATATTGATTTATGATAATTTATAATTTTTATTCTACATATATAACATATTTAAAATATTTAAAAAATGTGATAAAGATTTGTAATTTTTATTGTACATTAATGTTAAAAATTAACATGATTAATTATTCAATTTATAATTTTAAAAACTTGATATTTAATTATTTTTAATTAAATTATAATTATATTTTTAATGAATTAATTATTTTTTAAATAAAAGAATGAGAGATTAAACTAAAGATAATATGATTAAATAATATTTTACTTTTTAAATTTACTTTTCAAAAGTTTCATCATTTTAAATTAATCAAAAGCACATTTAATCATATTTGAAAAGAACTTTTTTAAATGAACTTTTTAAAAAAGATTAAAAACCAAACGAACCCATAATAGATATAAATAGACTTTCTAAAGGACTTTAGAAAAGATAATAAATGTGGATTTGGCAACTTGTAATTTAAAAACTTTTGAAAAACACTTTAAAAAGGGCATTGAAACTCATTTTATTATTGACCATGTTACTTTCTGGTGCAGTGCAAATTAGATATTAATGAGCACGCTTTTCTTTCTTTAATTTCAGGTGCAATTTTAAATGTGGCTTCTAAAAAAGAAATGAATGAAGTTTGCCATTCTATTAAAAAATAAATTGTACATTATAAACCAAACTGTTAATCATGTAACCATTCAATATTAATGAATGTTGAATTATTCCTAATAAAATTTTTTGCAATATTAAAATTTATATTTTTTATTTTTATTATTTAACATATTAAATTTTATGTTACTTTAATTTTTTTCACTTTTTAAAACATTTTTATATATTATATTTGTATAATAAAAATTACTTCCTCCGTTCGAAGATATAAAACATTTTTTGAATAGTTAAATATTTAAAAATATAAAATATTTTTAGTTTTTCGAGATGTAATTATTACCTTTTTTAAAAGTACTCTTATTGATAATGACTTTGTATTTATTGTAGGATATTTAATAGAAGTAAATGTGAAAAGATAAGATTAGTTAGAAAGTAGGTAACTACTTTATTAAAAAGTAAAATTCAATTAAAAATATTTTACATTTTTAAACAAAGAGAATATAAATTATCATAAATTAATATATTTTTTGTTATTATATATTTAAAAGTACATTTCAAAATCACAAATCATTATTAATTCAAACAACTTTCAGTTTATCAAACTAATTTTAAACAAAATATATTTAAATATAAATTTCATTATAAAAACTGATTTTTATTAAATTATTTTTTATTAAATGAACTTTCAACAAATTAAAAACTAAACACATGTTGGTAACATTCTTGTTATATAGAACAGAAACAGAACCCCATATTAAGCTAATCATCTAAATCCACAACAAAGCCATAGACCTTCGAGGTTACGACATCCTTCCTCGGGCAAGCCAACTCGCTGGCCGACGACATCCTTCTAAGACAAAGCTCCAATGTTTCACGTACAATTACAGGGCAGTTGAGTTGCTTTCTGTAATGAAATTCGCTAAGGAAATGCATTTAACCCAGTACAACATGGCATTGGTAGCAGACCCCATTTATACTATGGTAAGTAGAAATGTATTTTCCAAAAAAAAAAAAGTAAATACACTTATTCCTTTTTCTTTCGAAATACATTCTTTATTTCTTTTCAAGATTTTTTATTTTTTATTCTTTTGGTGTGTACCGAACACACACTTACGGCACCCACCAAGATACTTTAACAAGCGAAAAGTGCCAGGCACTCTCAAACAACTATAACTACACAAATCACCTCATAGAAAAGCAAAATTCGCACATGGCCAGAATCATTAAAGTAGGCTAATCCTTACGGGTAGACTCCAATTAACTCAAAATGGTTCCATTTTTCAGAATCTTCCTTTCAACGAACTTCTGGTGCAAATCATTAGCCTCTTTTATCATCCCCCCGTCAGCAACAGCTTTAATTATAGCCAAATATATCCTGTCATCCGGCTTGTATTGAACTTTTAGCATCATATCTAGAACTTGAATGGCAACATCGACCTTGTTTTGTCTACATAATCCAAGGATGACAAGTTTGTAAGCAGAATTCCCAATGTTATGTTCATTCTTACACGTCTCCAGTAATAGCTCCAAAGCATCCTCAACTTGGCCTGCCTGGCAAAATCCCCAAATCAAAGTACGGTGAGTAATTTCATCAGGAATGAATCCCTTTTCTACCATTTCACTATATAACTCTTTTGCTTTCTCCATAGATCCCATTTTGGCCAACCCATCAATCACGGTATTATATGTGATCAAACAAGGAGAACAGCTAGTACCAACCAAAAAGTGAAGCAATTGGATGCCCTCATCTACAAATCCCTGTTTACACATAGAACCTAGAAGAGTATTGTAAGTAACAATGTCTGGTGAACAGTTCTGAGAAACCATTATATTGTAGAAGCTTATTGCACGGCCTAGAAGTCCACTCTTGCACAAGCCATTAATCAGAATATTGTACGTAACAACTGTGGGGGGTCTGGAAGTCCCATTCATGATCATCAAAATCTCGTCAACTTCATCCCAACATCCGTGGTTACAAAGGGAGTGGATCAGAGTGTTGTATGTCACATTATTGGGCTGCATCTCGTAGGAGAGAAGATTTAGAATAACCAAAGCAGTTTCCTCATATTTCCCCTGTTTACAAGTGAAATTAACGAGACTGTTATATGCAATAATATCTGGATAACAGCCCTCTGTTGCAAAATCTTCCAATACTTCTAAGGCCCGAACCGTGCCACAATATTTGCATACCAGCTCAATGAGAACTGTGTACGTAATCAGATAAGGAAGGCATCCCTTTCTCAATTGGTCCTTCCAGAAACTAACAGCCTGATCAAATTCTCCATTATCAAACATGCAACGAATTATTGTATTATAAGTAATTACATCTGGGGAGCAACCACTCAAGCTCATATCTTCCAGAATATCAATGGCTGATCTTAAATGACCCCTTTTACACAGCCCACCGATAACCATGTTGTATGTAATAATATCAGGAACACCACCAGACATGATCAAAATTTTAAGGATTCTGCAAGCTTTATCTGTTTGACCTAATTTAATAAAGCCTCGAATTAAATTTGTGCACGAAGGAAAGTGAGGAATTTGATTTTTCCGAGCCATAATATCAATTAATCTTGCCGCCGCCTTTAATCTTCCTTGTTTGCAGAGATTCTGAAGAATTTTGATGTTAGTTTCCTCGTCATTTCTGACAAAAGGCCCTTCCAGCAACAAAATTGAAGAGTCTATTGTCTTGTCTGAATCCAGTTGTTTCGTTGATTTTCTCCTATTACCATTGCCAGTATCGAAGTCTTCAAAGCCCCAGTTTTTATGATCAACTTCATTAACTCTATCAATGAAAGTACTTCTCTGAAAACTTCTACACTGCAAAAGGTGCACTTTTCTCGAAGATTCAAGGCTTCCACAGTGGACAGAGTTTAGGCTAGAGGAGGATGATTTTATTCTTGAGAAGTTATCAAAAGTGTGGCTCTCCTGCTTGTGACACCCATATAGGCCATGTAAATAATTGAATCTGAACATGTTATTCTGTATGACTGCATATTCCATCTTTGTCCAGGTGCCTTGACTGACCTCTCTGGAGCTATAAAAATATATGAGTTCGATCCATATTCTTTATAATTAATCAAGTTCGACAAAGAAAGAAATGAGGGCTTGGTTCAGGTTGATAAAATCCACGTGCAGGCAGTCAAAAATTCACCTCCTCTGCTGGTGCACAGAATAATATCCCACTAGAAAAATATAGCACCCTGTTCACCTAGGATAATAAGAGAAACATATATAACCATGAATATCATAAAACAACAAGGATACTCACAAACGCAGAACTTCTAAATTCTAATCTACATGACCAGGCAATCAACTCAACGAGCTCGGCAACTAATTCTTCAAAATGAAAAATACAACAGCCTGTTCACCTAAAACAACAAAATTAACAATACCGAAAAAGCACAAACCTCTCATGTAGACAAAATGAAACACAGCTAATACTGGTAAGATATGTAAATACCAGCAAAAATTCACAAGTTTAGAAGCGCCGCTGAGAACTGCAAGTAAACTTTAATGACGAAATAGATTGGAGTGGGCCGTAGATTCAGAAGGGAAATCCATTGCTTCAACGGGAGATAAGGAACAGAGAAAACATTGGAAGAGTAACAGACAGGGAGCAAAGAACTGAGGCAGAGAAAGGAACTTACAATTGATTTTGGTCTCCACAATCCCCGCTCGTTCGATGGGAGAGACGGAAAAGGTGGAAAGCATGAACAAGGACGTTGACAAGGGACAGGGACGTTAATCTAGCCACTAGGGTTGTCCTGAGTTAATGTCCTGCGGACGTTGATCTGGCGAAGCGAGGCTAGAGAAGGAGAATGGACTGTGGGATGGGCCACATGGGCCTTCCTTCATAGGTTTTCACCATAGATGAGGCAGGAGGTTGCAGGCTGACATTCAAAAGCCTGTCCAATATAAATAAATCACGAAAATGGAAATTGGGTGAAAATGTGAGGATGATCCCGTGATTTTTTATTAAATTAAAATATGTATAATTCACTGTCAGGCAATTAATTAAGTAATATACTTGATACTTGGTTCACTCTCCCCACCATTACTCACCTCCCCTTTATTTTACTTGAAATCCATGATGTTTTCTACTATCAATTATCAATTATACACAAACACACGCATTAAACTGACCCTGACTTTTTAAATATCTTAGCAAGATTCACAATGAAAATACTATAAACACTCGCTTTCTGATGTTGCAATGTTTTTTTAACAAAAGTGATGGATTTGTCTCTTTTACTTATTATGTTTATCCTCTTTAAATTTTATTTTTCTCATTCTAGAGGCATTTTAGAAACTATTGGGTTCGTGGCAGTTATTCTCAGTCTTCCACGTATGTACATGTTCTCTCATTGCTCATACACATTTTCATGTTAGCTGGCTCCCAAGAGAAAAAAGTCTCATGGTATTAGAATATTTTGATGTCATTGTAACCGTAAACTCCTACTATCATAGGAACAGAACCATGCCCTTAACTTTTAAGACTTGATCAAACATTTTTTTTAACAATTCAAAACTCGTGTCAATATTATTATTGATGGACTGATCTAGTCATCATAATTAAAATATCTCAAGTCAAGGCTCAGGATACATTTTTTGTTTAAATATTAAGATAAAAGGTTCAAGGTTGCAACATTAAAATAAGCAACTTTCACTTCATTTGTGCAGTGTCAAAATATATGTGTTTTGCTTTTTTACTTTGTAAGATTCGGGGTCTTTAAATATTTTGAATAATTAATTCTTATATTCAGTCCAAGTTAAGTTTTCCGTTCCTCCAACTTTACTTAAAACAAATAAAATTCATGGAAAATTTATTCATTTAAATATTCTGTCAAAAGATTTTTAAAATAATTTACCTTATCCCTTATATTGTTTAATTTCTTAAGTTGTTATTTTTGTATGATCCAAAATAATAATTTCCAAAATTAATTTTTTCCATGAATTCTTTGATCCAGACTATTTTTTTAGTTTAAAGGTAGTGAATACATATATGTGTATTAAGATTTAAAAATACTTAAAAATACCAATTAAAGTGATTTACAAGGAACCCTAGCCACAAAACCAACAAGGTTGTTGCACAATAATGGGCCCATTTGTTTAAGATTAAAAATAAGTGATTTTTAAAAAGTTTAAAGATTTTATAAAAAATAGATTTATTTTGTAAAGACTTTATTAAAAGCAGCAATTATTTTATGTTTGGTTATAATAATAAATAAAAGATTAATTATTAGTTAGCAATGTTTAAATTTTATGATATCTTTCTTCACTTTTGTTTTATGAAAATGATTTTTTATTATTTTATTTTTAAAATTTTATGATATCTTCCCATGTCACACTGCTTTAAAATGCTCTCTTTCATTTAATGTATTAGATTATTGAGAGAATCACACCTAAGGCCTTAAGAACCAAGAAAATTGCAACTATGGCTCAATAGAATCTGAATTGATTCTACAGAACCAAAGGCCCTATATGTAATTAAATTTTATTATGAAATAACAAAATTGCCCTTCGTTTGAAAAAAGAAGCAGCATGCAGCACACAAAAACTTAAACCACAATGATGGGCACCAGAGCATTATCGCTAGTGGTGACGGCAATTAAGAGTAGGAGAGGGAATGGGATAGGTGGGTATGACAACAAGCTCATGTATATGATAGCCAAAATCGAGAAAGGAGGTAGGACAAAAGACTCTTAAGTCTTTTGTATGCAATGAATCACGAGGGCAACAATAATGGAGGTCCAGATCAACTCATCACTACTATGCCATCACATCGGAAAGGTTTCTATTCTTTCCACCTAAGATGGATTTAATTGGGGGGTTTTATATAGGTAGTAGGTACATATAAGATTGATTTTTTGTTGTAAAAAATGCATTGTAGTGGTGTTTAAATTGGATTTGTAATTGTGATTTAGTCGCTGAAATAATCTAACTTGGTTACTTATATAACTTGCCTTGTTTGTTGAATTCTAAATTGGTAGTAGATTATTTATTGTGAAATGATGATGGTTTTCTTATTTATATTGCATGTTCACACATGAATATATGAACCTTTGTCTATTAATATGCAAGCTTTTACCTGTAAATATATGAACTTAGACTTGTCAATATGTAAACCTTTTGTTGTTAATATGTGAACATGTAGTTGTACAGATTAGAACTTTTACTTGCTGTCACTGAACCTTATTTTTTAATAAATGAAGTTAGAAATTATAGACTTTGACCTATGAATTGATAACATGTACTTGTAAATATTAAAATTTTAAGTTGTAAATTTGTGAACTTGTCAAACACAAACTTGTCAGCTCTGAATAGGAGTTTCACTACCAATGAACAATTATTTATTAATATGTGTACCTAAAATTGTGAAATTGTGAATGTGTAGTTGTAAAAATTAGAATTTTCACTTAATGTCACAACCTTATTTCTAGATATATGAAGTTAGAAATTTTGAACTTTAAGTTGTAAGATGTAACAATGAGGGCTGAGATATTAATATAAGTGAAAGGTTGTGTGTTTTGGAAATGAATAAATGTGTGAAATTTGGCCAGGTATGTAAATTTGTGTGTATACATAAAGGCCTTAATGTAAGTGAAAAAGCTCATTAAAGTGGCTAAATTTGATTATGAGTGTATGTTTGATGTTATAATTATTCAATTGGTTGAAAAATATCTCGTTAGATGTGGTCAAGGCCTTAGTGATGACTAATGATACAAATATTTTATTTGGGATGCCTGAGTGAGAGAAAATGACTTAAAATGATTATTTCACATCTAGGTGTCTAATTTTTAAACAAAATATCAAATTGAGATGAGACTTATGTTATTAGTTAGATTATGAAATAAGTTATATATGAGCGCTCGAATAACTCTAATCGGATATTTATGCTGATTGAGTATAGTTTGGTAATGTCAAGATGGACGTTATAATTTGACATTAGTTTTTTGAGTTTTGAGATTTAGTCATTGTGAATCATATGCTGCATTCATTCTTAGTCTTTGACAACTTATATTCATTCATTGCAAACCTCTTGCTTATACTAACCCTTTCTTTTCATTATTTTCATCTTTATAAGGGGAGAAAAAGGTAAGGTGTACTCAAGCTATTGGTAACTTGTCGGTTAATAATAATGACCAAGTGTCGAAGGATCAACCAGTCTGGTAACAACTTATAAATTAGGAGTTCTTTTAGAAGAATTAGGGAATATAACAGTTGATATTCAAAGAATCATCCAGGAGCATAATGTGTTATTGAGGAATAGAGGCCGTGATGATTGAACTGTGGGGGATTAAGGCAGACCAGAGAAGGAAGAAGCCTATAGGAGTATCTTTGGACAGTCTCAAGATTTCAATAGTAGGCCATCACATTCGGTAGTAGCTAGGGCTAATAATGTGTATGTATTTATTAATCAGGCGTGGATCCTAATTAAGCCAAGCATGAGCTTCTTGAAAATCATTATCATTATAAGTTTTAACATCTTCTTGGAAAAAAGACCCTAAATCAAGTCCTCCCATGATATGACATCCACCCTCATCCTAAACTTCATTACCGGTTTCTTCACTATTACCTTTATTAAATAGTATAGCAAATCAATCATTAAAATAAGTAACATATAATATAATAAAAAAAATAACATGACAAAATAGAAAACATCAAAGATCAACCTTCATCTTCATTAATAGAAACTTGTGAAATTATTGTATAATCATAAAGCATGGCTTCTTATCATAATCAAGGGCAAGAGAATCTTCATCTTCCATGATCCAATATTGAATGCCACCAATACTTCATAGTCAATAGGATCAAAAGATCTTTTCTTATTATAAACTCTAAAACACATAAAAATATTAAAGTATTAAAAATAAAGGACTCATAATTAAACTCACGTTAAACAAATTGAAGTAAAGTTTACCAATGATTAAATAATATACCTATTTTCAAAAAAAATTGTAATGAATAAACACAAGATCATTTAACCTTTTATGCTCCAACGTATTCCTTTTTTTACAATATATTTGTTCAAAAACACTCCAATTCCTTTCATAACCAGATAAAGATAAAGTTTGGCTCAAGAGTTTTGTTGCCAATTTTTTAATATTTGGTGCACTATTCCTAAATATTTTTCACCATTCATCTATAAAATTTAGCACCAAAGATAAACATAAGTAAGAATTATAAGAAGTATTATAGTTAAATGAGAAGATTATGTTTATAGATGAACTAGTTAAGGAGCAACTGAAGCTGTAAACTTTATCTTGATACAACAAACTTTCTTGCATAAACTTAGTTTTATTAGTAGTGATTGTCGTATTCGAAATATCAAGAAATCAAGAAATTTGTCACATAATAACCTCTCAATAGTTTTATAATTAGCTGCATTGTCAGTTACCAAGTGCACTACATTTCTAACTCCAACAAAGTCAACCATTTCCATCAATAAATTGCACAAATTTTAAGCATCTTGGGATATGTTTGATGTAATATCATGAAGAACTTAATCCCTAGTTAACTGAATAAATAAAGTTAATTAAGTAAATTAAAGTGGACTGTGGTTACAGAGAGTTAATGGGTGTTACGGGTTGTGATTTCAGCCTTAGGGTTGAGTCTGAAGTGAGATAACACCAACTAAA